GCAAAGGAATAGCTCTGCAGAGAGACGTGTACGCGAGAAACGGAAGTACGTCGCGGCGAGAAAAGCCACGAGAAGCTACGATACTTACCGTTATAGACGTCAAGAGTGAAACGAAACAGTGTCTTTGTTGCGGTGAACTACACGGTGTTGAAGAATGCACGAAGCTCGCAAACATGAGCGTGACAGAAAGATGGTCGTGGGCGCAAGATAATAAGATATGCTTCAACTGCTTACGCAGTCGACATCGTCGATTCTCTTGCAAGGAAAAGCGATGCGGTGTCGACGAGTGCAGAGGTCGTCACCACGAAATGCTACACGCTGAAAGGGCGTCGCCGACGACACAAGTAAACGGGACAACCGAAGAAACCGCTCTCGTCGCATCAACAGCGGCGACATGCGGCTCTGTGTTACTAAAGGTGTGCCCGGTAATAATACGCGGTCCGGAGGGTACAGAGATCGCCACATACGCGCTTCTTGACGAAGGTTCCACTATATCGCTAATTGACCAACAATTAGCAGAAGAGATAGGTGCGAAGGGACCAACGCGTAACCTTCGCATCCGCTGTGTGTCGGCGACGAACAATCATCCGAATAGCCGCATCGTGGACCTTACTATTAGAAGGAAAGGACAAGACGAGTCGCACGCAATAAAAGCGAGGACAGTGAAGAGCTTAGCCGTCGGGATGCAAACAGTGAGTACTGATTGCTTGCGGTTAAGCCACCTATGTGATTTGCCGAGGGACGCTTGTTTTAAGAACGCGAAGCCTAAGTTATTATTAGGTGCGGACAATTGGCACCTAATTATATCTCGCAACATTCGTATCGGACAACGCAACGAACCGATCGCGGCGAACACGTTACTCGGTTGGGTGATACAGGGGACGACGCCAAGAGCTGTATGCGAAGATGAAGAAACTGTGCTTCACATCCGCTCGCCCTACTCACCGGGACCCAACGACGCCGACGACGAGATTAACGCATTATTCAAAAGGCAAGTCAAAATAGACGAAAATGACCAGCCAGCACAGATGTTTTTATGGCGCGAAGACGACCGCCGTAATCCACCTCAAGAATACGTGATGACGTCGATGATATTCGGCGCGAGAAGTTCGCCCTTTTTAGCTCACAGTGTTCGTGACTACAACGCGCGCGTACACGCCGATACGCATCGACTAGCTCTCGACGCCATCACGAAGAATCATTACATGGACGATTATCTCGATAGCTATGTTACTTTCGACGACATGCAGAAAACGACAAAGGAAGTGGTCGAGGTACATGCAAATGCCGGTTTTATTTTAGCGAGTTGGAATTCGAACAAACTCGAGGCGCTAGGTAACATACCTATCGATAAGCGTGCCACGGAACCGACGGAAGTGGGCAAGACATCGGAGGCGAAAACTCTCGGGCTGCGATGGATATCTGAGGAAGACGCGTTGTCCTTTAACGTGTCGATGTGTCGTGTTCCTCAAGAAGTTAAAGATCTCTATCGACCGCCGACTAAACGAGAAGCTTTAAGCGCAGTAATGTCCATGTTCGACCCGTTAGGTCTGCTCAGTTACGTAACAATAACGGCAAAGATCCTGTTACAAGATCTTTGGAGGATGAAAACCGTGAGCTGGGACGACGAACTACCAACATCTTCAGCGGAAGACTTCCAGCAGTGGCTACATGCCATACAAATAACCGCACAGCTTCGTCTCCAGCGCTGTTACGCTCCTACGGGGGGAGTTGTTGAACGACGACTACATGTGTTTAAGGACGCAAACGAACGAGCGTACGCGATGGCAGCCTACTGGCGAACCCGATATGAAAACGGTTCGACAAGGATTAATCTAATAGATGCGAAAGCGGAAGTAGCTCCGATTAAGACGCAAAGGACACCGCGTTTAGAGTTACCGGCCAGTTTGATAGGGGCTCGTTTTGCCGACGCGATCCAGACCGAGCATTTAATTAAAGCCGATAAAGTATGGCTATGGACAGACTCGCGGACAGTGCTTCATTGGATTAGAAACAATACGTCGCGATATAGTCCGTACGTTGCGGGTCGGTTAGGGGAGATCGCAGAACAAACTACGCGGGAAAGGTTAAGCGCATACGCAATGCCCTTCGCATATACGGGCATTCAATATTTCGGGCTATTAACCGTCACCGTCGGCCGGCGTCGCGAAAAAAGATGGGTCGCATTGTTTACATGTTTAACGACTCGGGCGACACATTTAGAATTAGTTAATAGCCTTACGACAGACTCCGCGATCATGGCGTTAAGACGAACGGCGGCGCGGCGCGGATGGTCGAACGTTGTCTACTCCGACAACGGAACAAATTTTCGAAGAGCGGCGCAGGGACTTGCGGACGAATACTGGCGAAGGTGGATCCGCGAGTACTTGCCTACCTTAACAACCAGAGGGGAATCGAGGAAGAGCGAAGACAATAGCCCGAGACCGGGCGACCTGGCGCACATCGGCGACGGCCACCTCCCGCGGAATATATGGCCACGGGGAATTATCACGAGGACATTCCCGGGGCCTGACGGGGTGGTCAGGAACGTCGAGGTGAAGACGAGGGGCGGGCTGCTGAGAAGACCGGTGAAAAAGGTTGCTGTCCTCCCTAGAGAAGAATCGGCTTCGATGACTACGCCGGGGGGAGAATGTAGAGGACAGTTTTAGACCCCCACACATGGGTAAGCCCCCGCGCCGATGCGGGGAATGAAGTAGCGAGAAGGGTGTGCATTAGGAAGAAAAAACGTCGTGTGATTGTCATGGGACCCCGCCCATGGAGACGGAGCGTGCTTAGCCCCCGAAAAAGCTAAGCCCCTCCAAGCTCAGATATGAATAGAGCACTGCGGGGTGACGAACCAACCTACATCACAGACCGACTGACCCGACTCTCACGCGACGTTATTCAAGGAGTCAAGTTTTTATAGTGTTAATTTTCATATTGTTCTTTTAACTAATTTGTAACTACCAGTTCTTAATATATTGTTTGTACCGGAACCAGCTTTTATTTAAATACAGTCCACTAGTAAAATCAGTAGAATCAGTTTTGAACACCAACAGCGGATATAACGTAATATCTTAGCGGTAAATTAGCAATTTGATTGCGTCAACAATTATCTTCTGAGATTGTTTAGCAAAGGAATCTAACTATACATAGTTATTAACAAACATAGACGGATATGCTAATGATGAGCCTGAATCCAATACAATAAATAGGAAATTAGTTACATTACACGCTTTCCGAATACCCTCATTACGTACAATCAGATACATTCCGACAAAACAATGTTTATTCTACAACCTTGTAGTACATTTTTTTATAATTTCCGTAATCAAGGTAAGTTTTTTTCATCCCAGAATTCCTTAGCCAGTCATTTGTTTTGAAATTCCATGCTTCAATATAAGTCGGCATATTATTATGCCATTTCACACGGTTATAGATATAACTTCTGTTGATAATCTAAGAATATTCTTGCGGTTGTTCTAATTCTCTTAGATTAACTATACAGAGATTTTTTAGTTTCCAAAATCTCTTAATTGTTGGTTATTTGGAATAATGTGATTTGGATGAGACTAGTTGTGTTTACATTTCTTAATGATTACTGTTTTTTGTTTTATACATGAATTCATCAGAAATTCAATATACTAATGACCCATAATCGAGTGTTTCTTATACATTGAGTTTCCGATGAGTAGTCGTAACAGAGCTTCGTGACAAATAAGCAGTGAAAGTGTCGCCAACACCTGTGTGGCGTCGCGTCGCGTCTGCCGCGGTCTTTTTGCATGAAAATATTTTAATGCCATCATTACGTGGTATTGTGTGCACTAATTGTCGGGTACGGTGACTTGTAGACTTCGGATTAAGATCAGCGCCGCGACCCCCTCTGTTACACTGAGAATGTTTCACGTTCGCTTACCGACTTGCTCAATTTCCTTGATTTTAGTCGCGGTTCTTTTCACACTCTGATAATTATACAATTATTACGCGAATGACCTTGTGATTTTTTTGAATTGAGAATAATCGAAGCTGCAATGACAAAAAATGATTGATGATGTTTTTTTTTTGTTTATGTATTTTTTTGTCCACGACTGATATTTGTAAACTAGAAATATGGTAAAATTTACTTATCCATAACACTTATCGGTATTTTTTCTGTCAAATTCAAAGAAATCATACAAAAGAAAAGTATAACTTTGTAAAACATATTGATCAACCTGTTTCTGTTTTTTAAAGTCCCACGTGCACTTTCTTTTTTTATCTACATTGCAAATAATGACGTGACTTGAGTAATAAAATATTCAAAACTTAAACGTTGCAGTAAAAAGTAATTGTATTTGCAATTTCGTGAAACACAAATACACCTTTCACGTGTTTTTGCAATTCGATCACATACTTTTTTGTATAAAATCTTGAACAGTTTCACCTTAGTATCCATCACGGGATTGACATTGATTAATACGTTCATATAATGTTTACATTAACACACCACATTAGAGATTTTATCGGGAATGGTATAGAGAGTCGAGCGGACATCACCTGTAACATAACTATCATTAAATGTTCTCTATATATTTCTAATTATCATACGACTAAAGTCATGATGAAATTCTAGAAACTCCTTAACTGATTCAGATATACTCTTAATTTCTGTTTATGGGCTGTTCGTTAATTGCCAGCATGCCAAATCATCTTCCCTGTTTGCAGATAACCCTGCAATTACTATTATAATTATGCACATACTGATAATGGTTTTATAAAATAATTTGTAAAAATTGAAGTCACGTTCATTTCAAAGAAAAAAATGTTACGCATAACCCTTGTATGGCCATATGAAATCATTCAATAGTTTAATTTGACATATTCAAATTAAATAACAGCACAGTCATCGCATACCACAAATACACAATCTAAACGGATACACTTGTACGTGCTTGTAGCGTAAATATCAATTCACGTCAAGTTATGAGATGTACAAATCATTGACATAACAGTAGACTTCATCTGCCGAAACATTCATACAGAAACATGTTGCTATCTCTCTCATTCTGTCTGAAACAATTGGAATAGCTGTATGTTTATAGTGTTAACTCACCTTAAGGTTGGCACTTACAAAGCTCATATTCGAAGTCAGTTACGTCACAAGTGATACCAATAAGAACATCTCACAGTTTGATTTCTTGTACTTATTAAATGAGATCTACAATACAATTGTGTGAATATTTTTCTTAATGTACTATGTAATCTGGTTTCTATTGTTGCTTATATTGATTAGCGTTACGAAAGTATCACACCGTGTTGCACGGTTGCAATCAACTCCTATGGACGCTACTGATGCCATGTAAAATTAATTACTACATTTAACTTTGGTTAATTTACTTTACTAGTATACGTTTAATACAATAATAACACAGATATTTAATTATTTGTACATGCTTCGTGTTTTTATTTCGTCTTTGATATTATCAAAGGGCATGAGTAAATGTCGCGGCGTACTGAAATTTGCAATAAAAGTTTAACATGCATCCGCGGGCTGACCTCGACGGTTATTTCTACTAGATTTCGTTGGCGGATTTGTCGATATAACCCTATGTTTTATTTCTGGTTCAAATTTTGTAAATTGTTACATTAAATAATTTTTAACATTCAACAACTTGAAAATTAATTGTGTTATAAATAATACGTAAATAATTTTGTTGTTTTAGCACCTTTAGAAAATGTAGCGATGTTATGAAAAAAAAATCTTTTCATTTTGCTGCGTAGATTGAAACGTTGCGTTGTACATTTTAATTATTGACACAATTTTAGGTATCGGCTTAGTCTTTACAAGAACGACGGCTACTTTTGTTTTCCAATTGCGTGCTTATTGTTGAACATTCCGCTATAGTCGCGGTCTATAATTATTATTTATAGTCAATGTTTACGAACGAAAAGCGATTCATAACGGACACCTAATCATTTGACAACTACTATTATGATTTAGTCATCGTTTGTGCGTGCATCGTAAGCCGCGAAGCGTCACGACACTATGGCAATTAACGTAAGAACTTGTACAGTTTTTAACACAGATATTTTTTTATTGAAATACTAACTGGTAAGTCGACGTATTCAGGAATTATAAATAAATAAAATGCGAATGATACACACAAAATCGTAGAAGAAAGTGTACGGAAGAATGTTATAATTTTTCATAAGGTGGAAAATTTTAAGGTCCAATCTTTAAAAGAAGATTTTAAAACCGACGTGTGTTGTCAAAACCGAGATCTGTACAGTTTGACAGTTATCATTTGCCTATACAGGTCATTTTTAAATCTACAGTTAGATAGTTTAGTTACAACTAAAGAATTTGGGCTTAAATTATCTACGCATTTGTTTTCATGTATTTTATGTTAATACGAGTACATCAGTAGAAAAAAATAAGGCATATTTTAGAGATTATGACTAATTATTCACAGCAACAGTTAGTGTGTTAGTGTTTTGAATTAATGTTGGCTGTCATCAAAACAACGTTACAACGTAATGGTAATGTACTTTTAAATATTTACGTTGGAACTCGACCGTGTCTAATTGACGTCTTTTTTGGCCACACAGCTTAACTAATCCAAACAACAATATAAAAAAAAGTTATTAATATAAAAAAATACAAGTGTGGAAAACTTAAAGTTAAAGTTAATCTTAAAGTGGGTTCTAGTAGTGTTTAGACAAATTACTCGGCAATAGGTTTTAGATGACACATTAAATCCACCACGTCTCATAAATCAATTTTTATTTTATTCCTATGTATTTCAAGGTAAGCCGACTTAAACTTAAGTAGACGTGTAGCTGGCGATAAGTAAAGAATACCTTTTTTACTCGTCTGTCGTGACTACGTTTGTATCGTAAAACATGGCCTTAAGGCAAAAAGCAGTAACGTTTTTTAGTCCAATAAATCACTGTTACAATACTATTTATTGAGTTTCTTTTATTCCATATTTGTACTTATGTACTTGTTTATCGCAAAATGAAACCGTCTGTCGAAAATATTCATTAATTAAGCTTGCGACACTATTGCATGATTGAGGAAACTCTATCAGGGAAGTATTACGACCTCACAAAAGACACTTCTGAGGTTGAAATTGTTGATATTTCAAGTCCGTTAAATGACTATATCTATCTCAATTTTAACTGGTGCTGTGTCATCAAAGATTATGAGAATGGCTCATTGACTAGAAGGATTAAAAACGTAATAAACATCATTCTTTTGTTGATTCACAGAAGATATCGATGTGAGTGAGGTGCAATGCGCAGCGACATGGCGTACCGCGGGCTGTCGCGCCACGTGGAGCTGGACCGCGCGGCAGACCCCCGCAACCGCTTCACGCTGCAGGAGCTCATCGGCGAGGGCACCTACGGCGAGGTCTACTGCGCCAAGGACACCAAGTCTGGTCGCCGGGTCGCCGTCAAGGTCTGTAACTTAAGCCCGGCCGCACGCCACTCTTTACACTCGAAAGCGTCCACCACGCTCGCATGATTCTGAGACAAATAAAAACATTTCGAAACAGGATTTAGTTAAATGCAATATTGCGTCTGGTATACCTATCGACTTCTACGTAAATTTGAATTGGTGGTATTATTTACCAGCAACGAATATCTGTCAGATAATATCTTTAAACATTTAAATTGGTGTCATGGTTGTGCGACAATACCATAATTATTTCACAACGTTTTATTCTATGACATGACTCGCAGTTAGCAAGCGGCATACAGCTACGCAAAACACTATTGTTATCCATTTGAGCACAATCATTTTCAATCACAATGTTGTCATAACAACTACCTAAATATTCTGGCAAACCACACACATGGTCGCATTGGGAATTATTTAGTTAAGTTGAAATTGTTTTTAAGTTTATATCTGTCCTAATTAATTTGTTTAAATGTTATATATAAAATGCCTATTTCAATGTGTTACAGATTTTAGAAAATATTGCCGAAAACATTGAAGAAATAGAAGAGGAATTCCTCGTATTCAGAGATTTATCGAGTCATCAAAATATTCCGGAGTTCTTTGGGTTATTTCTAAAACGTGGTTTAAGCGCTGAAGATGACCAAATATGGTTCGTTATGGAGGTTAGTATAATTTAGCCTTAAATTGTGAGAAAGGAGTTTTAATTCAATGTCAAAACGATCATGATTGACCTTTTACTCGTACATTGCAGCTCTGTACTGGTGGTTCGGTTACTGATTTGTGTGCGGGAATGCGCTCACGAGGCAGTAACATCACAGAACCCCAACTGGCTTACGTGCTCAGAGGGACCGTGCGCGCTCTGGCGCACTTGCACGCCCATCGATGTATGCATCGCGATGTAAAAGGTCACAATATACTCCTCACTGAGAATGCTGAAGTGAAGCTAGTAGATTTTGGAGTATCATCACACCTAGCCGCAACGGCAGCCAGGAGAAATACTTCTGTTGGTACTCCGTATTGGATGGCGCCAGAGGTAATAAAGACAGCTCTTTCTCTGTAATAGATTTGTAATAAATTGACGTATAGAAATTTATAATGCTTTTGGTTTTCAGGTAATAGCTTGCGAACAACAACTGGATCAATCTTATGATTGTAGATGCGATGTTTGGTCAGTTGGCATCACTGCAATAGAATTAGCGGAAGGGGAACCCCCGCTTTCCGGGTTACATCCTATGAGAGCCCTTTTTCAAATACCTAGAAACCCACCGCCAAGTTTAAGTCGCCCTGAAGTATTCTCGACCCAGCTCTCTGACTTTATATCGGAATGTCTTATAAAAGATATGAGTCAACGACCGTTTGCGAGAGAACTTTTAGAACACCCTTTATTGCTTGCTGTAAACAGTTTCGAAGACAAGGTAATATTTTTCAACTAGCGCATTATATTACTTAGTCTGGTCTGCTAATTGCTAATAGTTTTGTATACATTTATAGATAAGAAAAGAACTACATGCGGAAATAAAGCGGCAAAGATCTGATGGAAGAAGTTTTCGGGCTACCGAAGCTACAACAAAGCGAGGAAAATTAAAATCACACCGTAAAGCGCGACCGGAGAAGATGTACACAGATGACCTAGCGACGCTGGAATCCTTGACAGAGGACGCTATAGTGGACCAGTTACAAAAGAGATATAATCAAAATCAAATTTACACCTACATCGGGGATATACTCGTAGCAGTAAATCCTTTTACTGATATAGGAATCTATACACCCAAAGTGAGTTTAATTACATACTACTGATAGCAACATAGACTCTGTGCTATGAGATAAAAAATAACCAAAAACCTTATAGATGTACTGATGACTTAGGTGCATATTTAAATTTACGTAGATTGTCTATAACTGTAAATAAAAATACACAATATTGATAAAAACGTTTTGAGTGTCCATTGTTTCACTTTTCATTAAGACCAAATGTTGATATTGTTTTCAGACGCAACAAATGTATCAAAGCCGGTGTCGCTCCGACAACCCGCCTCACATCTACGCGGTGGCGGACGCGGCCCATCAGGCTTTAATGCATCAAAAACATCATCAGGCCATTGTTATATCTGGAGAAAGCGGCGCCGGAAAAACTGAGTCGGCGAACCTATTACTCAAACAACTTGTATTTTTATCAAAGGTAAATATAACGTATTTTATTATAAACTGTGATCACTAACTAGATACGAAGGTCGGCAAAATATATTCTAATTCTAAAAATATTTAAAAGAAAAACAATTGTGTTAAAATATCCGGGCTTATTATTAGTAGGCGAATTCTTAATTCCTTATTCATATTTTCTTTCCTACACAGACACAACATGGAAATTTAGAAGAAAAAATATTACAAGTTAATCCAATAATGGAAGCGTTTGGCAATGCGAGAACCGGAATAAACGCTAACAGTTCTAGGTTCGGCAAATATTTAGACTTGTCAATGATGAGAGTCGGACGAATATCAGGCGCTCGAATATCTGTTTATCTATTGGAACAGTCTAGAGTAGTTCATCAAGCAATGTTAGTATTACCGTTTTAAAATTGTATGGTATTGTTGGATCACAAAATATGTTTGATATTTAATTCGTTTTAGAGGGGAAAGTAATTTCCACATCTTCTATTATTTATACGATGGCTTGGAGAGTGAAGGGCGTTGGAGGAAGTTCTATCTAGATGAACAGCTAAAGGCACGCCATCGATACTTGCAGCCGCTTTCTGCAGCTCATCGCGAACACAATGTTCATCGATGGCGGCAACTTAATCAAGCTTTCAAGGTATTGTTACAATTTAATAGCTTAGTGAACAGTTATAACTTTAAGAACAATCTTTATTGCTTGCTGTAAACAGTTTCGAAAAATATTTTTCAACTTGCGCATTATATTACTTGGTTCTTGTACTTCGCATGATGAGCCTCATTAAGTTTTAAAATTTTCAAGTCTAAATTCTCCGTACCGATTTAAATTGACCTCAATGCACATTAAACTTTTTGTTGATTCCAGGTTGTGGGATTTCATGAAGACGAAGTTATTGTTTTATACAAAATGCTTTCGGCTATTTTACATCTGGGTGATATTGAATTTGGGGAGATGGCAGGCGAAGCGAATACAGACAACCGAGCTACTATCATCGATACAGCCCCGTTACATAGAGGTAGTTCTTAAAATTACCTTACCAACGCTGATGTATGTTGCGAACTTTTGAATACATAACAAGTGTGTAACAACTTTTTTTAATGTTTGCAGCTTCCTGCCTCCTGGGCGTCGAAACAGCAGATCTTAGAGAATGTCTGACCAGTAGCAGCATGGTGACGAGAGGGGAGACGATAGCTCGGCACAGCTCACCTGCTGAAGCTGCTGTTGCCAGGGACGCCACTGCACGGGGCTTGTATGCCAGAACTTTTGACCGCATAGTGGAAAGGATTAATGCTCTACTTTCACAAAATAAACCAAACGGGTAAGCTATAATAAAATTAAATTATGTCTAAATAAAATGTGAAACAAAATTATTCTCAATTTTATTTTTTCCAGTGTAGAACAGTTGTCAATAGGAATTTTGGACATCTTCGGTTTTGAGAATTTTCAAAACAATTCATTCGAACAGCTTTGTATCAACATTGCGAATGAACAGATACAATATTATTTTAACCAACACATTTTCACGTGGGAGCAACAGGAATATATGGCGGAAGGTATACCTGTGGATCTAGTAGAATTCTCTGACAACAGGCCGGTTTTGGACATGTTGCTATCGAGACCTATGGGGTTGTTGGCCTTGCTGGATGAGGAGAGTCGTTTTCCAAGATCTACTGACAGAAGTCTTATAGGTAAATATTTTTAACTACAATTACTCAATTACAAATATCAAAAAATTTGTTTCTGTTGACAATTTGAATTAAGACATTAAGCAAGTTTTAGTTTATCAAATTCATTGAATAATCTATGTCCAGATTATCTTACATTTTTCTTTCAGAAAAGTTTCACAATAATATCAAAAGTAAATATTATGTCAGACCTAAGTCAGACGCCATATGTTTCGCCGTCCATCATTTCGCGGGCAGGGTAGTATATCAAGCGGACGGATTCTTAGAGAAGAACAGAAACTTTTTGCCACCCGAAGTAGTTCAACTGATGAGGCAAAGTCAACATGATATAATAAGGTTCTTATTCCAATGCCCTATTACAAAGACGGGCAATTTATATTCAGCTTTACATCCGGAATTAGATTCAAGAAGTTTGGAAAGTACGATGTCGGGCGATATGAGGGTGAGTGTAATTAAGGTCACAGTTTTCGTTATAATAGTTATTATAATTTAAATTATAGTTCAATATTCAACAGGATAGATACAACAGCCGAGGCCTGGCTTCGCAGTCTCGAGCGCAGCAGACTGTTTCGACTTATTTCCGTTATTCTCTGATGGAACTACTTCAGAAAATGGTCAGTGGAAGTCCGCAATTCGTAAGATGTCTTAAGCCGAACGACACTCGTTCACCAAAACACTTTGATTCAACAAAAATACTCAAGCAGCTTCGGTACACAGGAGTGCTTGAAACAATAAGGATAAGACAAAATGGATTTTCCCACCGACTTACTTTTGAAGAATTTATCAAACGGTAATATTTTTACTTAAAGCAAATGTTTTCATTAACTCATTTTATAAAGTGTATAATTTATATTTTTTTTATTCAGATACGGTTTCCTAGCTTTTGGTTATGATGAAGAAGTTAAGCCAAATCGTGACTCTTGTCGTCTTCTTTTATTGAGGCTAAAAATGGATGGATGGGCTCTCGGCAAATCAAAAGTGTTTCTAAAATATTATCACGTTGAAGTCCTTTCAAGGATATACGAAGAGCAGGTATCATTCTATTCTATTTTTTGTTTAAATAACACAAAATCAAAGTTTGAATATATCCAAACTGTGCTATTATATGCTTTTGTGAAACAATAAAGTGTTTATTTTTATATCCATGAATGTAAAAAAATTAATAAAACGTTAAGATCAATGTTAAGTTCAATATGGAAATCTCTGTTCCTCTTATAGCGTCATGTATGCTTGTTTCTTTTTACCTCATTTTAGTAGCAAAGCTTTAAACACTGATTTATTTTTCCAGATAAGGAAGATTATCCTGGTGCAGGCGTGCGTGCGGACATGGCTGGCGCGTCGAAAGTGTGAGCGCCTCCGATTGCAGATGTCCATCTCTGTACTGACGCTGCAGCGTCATGTGCGCGGCTGGCTCACTCGCAAGCACCTTCGTGAGCGGCAGCGACAGATCGCTAGGGAGTTTAAACGGGAACAGATGGAACATGACGACAACAGAAAACAGAAACCTGGTAAATGTTAATCTTGAGATTACTATATTTTATGACCTATTGCTAGGAAGAAAAACTATTACTGTAATAGCTAGTCCTTCATATGAATGCCTGGTGTCAGTTAAGAATGAATTGTTGGAAGTATCTTTAATTTATTATATTGACACAGGACATTGGGTTATTGCGTTTATCGTTATTTAATTTATATCTTGGATTGTGGTTTGATTTGTATCCCTAGGTGTACCACAAAAGAACAAAGCGTTGGCTAAGCTAATAAGAAAGATGACATCTCAAGCTAACGATAGTCCTGACAACAAATCGAGCAACAAAGAGAACATTGACAACAATGAGGCTGCAGTGGTTATACAGAGTCGTTAGTACTTTGATACATGCACGTGTAGTGACTCCTTGTCTAACCATCTTAATCTAGTCAAATGTATATAATATAAGCCATTTAGCTTTAATTCTTTAGCAGCTGGACAAATCAGGTTCTTGTGTAAATTGCCTAATTATAGTTATCGATAGGCAAAACTTTTTCACTATTGTATATATCTAAGTATCTTTCTCTCTATATTGGAAGATATTTTTGAAAGATGCATTAAATTTCTTTTTTTCAAAGTCTATACTAATATACATACGCAGTTTGTAAAATATGTAAATAACTTTTGTGTTTTAAAAATTTATGAATATATGAATATCGGAAATCAAGATTGAAAATTCACTCTTGATTTTGGACCTCTTCAGAGTATAGCATGTATTTAGTTCGATGCTTTTCTATAGTTCTATTCTAACGACAATTTGCTTTTCAATTTAATGCACAAAAACGTACTTGTAAATTATTGTAATTGTTTGTTATCTCAATCAATTCAAATCAATTCAACTCAATTAATTATTATGATTTTTTTTCAGATTTCCGTGGGTACACTGCTCGGCGTAAGTGGGCGAAGGGGCGCGCGCCCCCGCCGCCCGCGCACTCGCCGCCCCCCGCACCTCAGAACATGATGCAAAAATTCTCAGTACAAGAGCGTGCTGCACAACTGCAGACCTTCGCTGATCAGGTATTTGAACATCAGACTTCATACTAACGTACAAATATGTGAAAGTTTGGATGGATGGACGTTTGTTACGTATCACTAGAAAGGCTCAACGGATGTTTGAAATTTGGCGATCACAGTTTAGAAGAACAAATGTGCTACTAACATTTTTTTTTAACTCCGCACAGACGGAGTTCCGGGCGAATGATAATTTTAAGTTTTGTTATAAAAATGCAATAGATTTTTGATGATGATATAATACGAAATATATCACACTTAAAGAAAACAAACAATCGTCATAATTAATTAAACACAAATGTCACAAGTATCAAAGTACTAAAATAGTTATCATTAACACACCTATATTGGTTATAGTTATTATATTCCTCGTAAAAATAACATGAAAAAGTAATTTGTTGCAAACAAATCAAACCTATATGTTTTCCACCTCTGCACTGATACGGAACCTAAAATAAAAAGAACAGTGTATTTATTAAATATCATACTTTTCTCAGGCGCATTTTAGAAACCAAGATTTCCACAAGAATCTCAGACGTAACAAGCCCGGCATTCGCTTGATAAATGTAGAGCGTCCACCCGATGAGTACCGCGCCCCGCCTGGCTTCAGTCTCATACCCGGCATTGTTAAAGGAAATCCCACACAAGTTGAACGAGATGCCAGTAGACTTTCCAGGTATAGCCGTAATATTGATGAAATTTTTTATAATTGGTATTTTAGTTCTTCGAAATTATCTTACTGGAATGCCAGTGATCTGTGACTATATCAAGTCAGTTGAATGATTAGAGCCGTTTTTTTGTCATATTAACTGGAAATTTGGTGGATCGAGTAAAGGAGGACTATTTATAAAAATGCTTGATCAAATTTTTAACTTTAGTTGTAAATTATTGGTCAAATTGCAATCCGTAAAAGCTCATTATTTTCATTTGTTTTTATTTTAATTATCTTATGCATTTGAATTTCCTTCATGCTTTCGTTATCGGCCGCTGGATTAGTCCTTCGCCAGAGTTTTACGAAAGTTCCACTAAACCGTGGGACGTCCCATTAAGATCAAATAAGTATAATATAGAGTCCAGGTATCCGAGGTGTGTTATTTTAGATTTTTTATGATTTAAATAAATTACATGAATTTTTTTATGATTTATAGCACGATATTAAATTTTGAAACTTGTGTACAGATATCAACAAAATGGGAACGATAAAAGTTATAATGAAGATAACCGTCTGCAACCGAATCAAAATTGGCAAAATCTGCCTTGCAATAGACAGTGTGGAGGTCTAGTCAGGTACGAAGAAGAATATAATTTTCAAAGATTCTGGCCATAAGCTAATCATGTCTCTTAATGCATGCATATTCGTTTGGATGATTAACAAAGGGTATGAAGAACAAATTATTTTGTATGTGTTATTGTGAATGTTTCCCATTTTGTGAATTCATTATCCTTTGACAAATCTAACCTCATTTATTTAACCACATTCTTTAGTATAAGTAGATATAGTTTACATTAGGCTTGTGAATAGAAATCATAATACATTGTTGTGAAAAGACATAAGTTATAATTTTTTTTTTTCAGCAATAAAATAAATGAGCTTGTTAAGCAAACACAGAAAGCGGATTCACCTCCGAGGATCACGTACCAGCTCGCGCGCGATCCTGAATCGAGTCTGCGCAAGATTCTCAGAAATTCTCCGGAAATTCTCGCCACGCCGGTGTTCAATTCCGACGATGATTACACGGAGGGTCCGTTCCGTTTCAAGCAACTTCTTCGACCGACGCTAGGGCCCACCGAAAGCCTTCGCAAGCGGAAAGTACGCAATACCTCAGGGAAGAGCCCCTGGATGTCTGATAGTTCCCAAGATAGTACAGGATCCAACCAAGGTCTTTATAATAAACGTCGGCCACAAATCAGTATGGGAGTGTATTACAATTAAGCACTTTAAGATTTTTCAGGAACTAACTAATGCATAAATTCTTCTATTTAAAGTAAGAATATACCAGATTGTAATACCCTCGATTAGTAACTTGGTTATTTGCAACTACCAAAACAGCATTTACTTTAAACATAATTTTAAAACCTTGTGTGCTTTCGTGTGTATGTCATAAAACGTATATGAAATCATCTCATTGAAAAGTAGGTGGACTAAAATATATGTTGTTCATTAAATATAACTGATTCCATCAACTAAAGTTGAATAATGTTATGACTCACCATGTTATTAACCACCAAAGTTTTAATTAAGTATAATTAATTAGTAATCGAATTATTTTGTCTTGCTGCCCAAAAATAACGTTAGCAATTAAAACAAATAACTTTTTTGTAGAATCGAGTAAAAGTTTATACTTTCTAATTTATTTTAATTAATGTTGGTGAAAATTTCCATAACTCTTAAAAAATCAACGATCATTAATTTTTCCTAAATAGATAAAAATTGATGTTGTAGATAAAATAAATCGTTAGATAATATGTACGTTTTACATAATGAACCATCACCATGTCAACATTGTCAATCATTTCTTCCGTATTTATCATATCTACTTATATTAAAACACGACAGATGAATCATTGATGTGTTTTGTGATAATGTGCCAATGATTATTATTTAAGTGATTAGTATCTAGTTAAGTTGTTACATATAATTAATCCAATAAATCTTCTAGATTAAAAGTCGTTTTATTTCGTGAATAACAAGTGATTTCAGATCACAAGCTACGAATCTATAGCGACAAACACAACTACATTAAACAAAAATAGGTTAAAACGTCCGTGTTTACTTACATAATTGGCGTTCGCAATCAAAACAAAATAAAACACATAAAGCTGTAGTTTTATACTCCCGCAAGAGTACGCGTTAACACGCAAGCTCGTGTTTACGGCGGGCGGGCGGCGCGGCGGCGAGCAGCGCGTGACGCGGTCGCAGCGGCGCACGCGCGCCCCACGCCGACGCGCGCGCAGTCGCGCCCGCGCCAGCCATGGCGGCCACCGGCCTGCCCGAACTCGACTTCTCTCAAATAAAGACGCGCACCATCGAGAAAACGCTACTCCCACTCATCAGACAGGTACGCTATACACACTTGCAACCTTCCGCCGGCGCCGAGCGCAGTGAACGAGTAACTCGCTACGTCCGTGACGTTCTACATCTTGTAGTTGCATCGCGTTAATTCGCTGACGTCGTCAATGATTCGCTGACTTTTACGCCTTATCCAAAGTCGTAACATTATTTTGGGATTCGTGCAATCGTTGGCTCGCGACGTCGCAGTAACGTCTTGCGTCACATGACGCCGAAGTTTCCCGCCCGACGACTATCTGTTGCTTATTCATCGCGCAATCGCAGTGAGTACGCTCCGTGATGGCGCTTTCTTCGAACGCCGTTAACTTCCTTTCCGACAATTTTTATTTTCTAATACAGAACATAAGTTCTTATATTAAATTAGGGCATGTCCGTAGTATTATTAAGTGAGGTCATGGTAGCCTGAGGTGGAAAAGAGCGATGCTAAGTGCTAGTTTGCGTAAGTGTCAGGGCGGGCGGCCACGTGTAGTTGGTGCGGCGTGTGTGCGGGTCGCGGGCGGGCGGGCGCGGATCGATGGCCGGGCCGGCAACGGCAGTGCCGCGGCGGACGCGAGCGGGGCGGCGGGGCGGCGCGGTGCCGCAACGACACTCGGCCCACTCGGCACGTGCGCCTCCGCGCCCGCGCTAGCGCTAGCGCGTCCTTCACGCGCGATCACCGCTCGCACACTTGACGCGCGCTCGTCCGATATGGACACGCTTTCCGATGACGATGAGTACGCGCGCCGGGAGCACCAGGTACGTTTGTGGAAACAAACTAAACCACCAATTCGAATTTTATAAATATAAACTCTTTGTTGCACGATTATAATTCAATAGTATAAGGAAACTAAAATGCAACAAGTGCCTCAGGTGTGGAAGAAGATCGCGTGATAGGCCGACCTCGATCCGTACACGCGGTGAGCCTTACTACTGTAAAACAAACGTCAATTGATATTTTTTTTAATTAAAACTAGTTAAAATTAAAATAAATACGTAAGGACATTAGTTTTACATATAAATATTTAAGTAAAAAGTTCGTAAAACTTTTGAAAAAAACACGCAACCTTGGTAATAACTTAACCTAACGAGGTTATTGATAGTATGTAACTTTATCAGTTGTATGTTGTTGTCAGCAACTCTAAGTAAGTAGAATAGTGTTATTCCTACTTTGAATAGGACTTTTCAGCGAAGCGTATGATTTAAAGACATTAAGTTAAACCTGTAACAACAAACAAAGTCTGTTTATACAAAGCAAACAAGGATCCGAAACTGTTCGTATAAATTAGGACCTAACTGTTTTCCTGTAATTTGGTATCTATTGAACTAATCAAATGAGGGAAGGAATACTTGCAATAGAAGGCAAATATCAGATTTGTGAGGTCGCCTTTCTTTTAAATCAAACGACGACTTTGTGGAAAATAGAAATCGATGTATATTTGAGGGTTCCTAAAGATATACAAAAGGTTCTTTTGTATTACATCTATTGATTGAACAAAATTTGTTAAATATATGATACACGTCTAAGTTATGTCTTAACAATAAAATGCTATACAGAAAAAATAATTTGAAAGACACGTGTTTCGATCAATTCTTATAATAAAGAGTGTAATTGTTAATTAAAATGTTCCTTTCAACATTTTAGTCAAAGAGAATGGTCTTTATTTAGATATAGGTACATACGAATAACACATGGAATTGAGGAGAAATCGGAAGCACGTACTGCAATCTCGTTTAGATTGGATGCTCTAAATCCAATTGCCTGTACATTTATTGGTACGGCACGGAAACGTAGCAGTCATAAATATTTACATGGATTTGTACGTAAATCTTCATATATTTTACTATGCATTATATTATACCTCATGATTTGCTGAAAATGATTATTTCAACACTGATCATACTTTTGCTTGATATTTTTTTTAATTCAAAAGCAGAGAACCAAGAGAAGTGTATGTATAAGTATCTTAAAAAGTGCAAAAAATTAAGTATGTCAACACTTACATAGTATGATAAAAGGCTAGTTGACATGCTTCCAAGAATAACTCGGTCTTTGTAATGCGATCAATTGTGAAAGTCGTCAGTCTTTAAATACTATGCTAATATAAGATTAAAAAGAAAAATATTACGTGCGGCGACAGTCTAGTTACAATATTCACATGTTAATTTTTATGGAAAAAATAGATTCAACTGATTTAAGTTTGCAATTTGTAGGAGAAAAAATATGCAGACGAATTACCTCCTTATTTTGGGAAGTCGGTCAATATAATACAATTTCTTTTTATTAATATAATTCTGCTACTAAATAACTAAGTAATTTACAAGTATTGTTATTATGGCCGTCCGTCTACATTTTAAAGGAAATCATTTGTGTCAAAATATCTAACACTACTCTTTGAGATCATTCTTCTTTATTTAATCTTTGACAAGGCGACTATTTTATGAAGTACCTACACAGATTCATTTCCGAGTTAACGAATTTATTAATAGAAGACAGAAGACCAATTGGTATCTTATAGTAATCAAAGTATTAAAAATATTAAGTAAAGTGAGAGTGGCTCGTGAACATAACTGCAGAAACCGCAGGTGTGATTGAAGCTCGGTAAAATAAAAGGGCCTTGTTTACTAGACCTTAATGCGGCCCGCACTTCTTTATGGAAGCTAAATGTGTCCTACTTTGAATGAATATATTCGGGAGATTTATGTCGGTACGTGCACGTATAATTTTGATAAAAAAAGTAAATCTAAATTCTTGCAAAGAAGCTTACGTAGACACGGTATACAATGTAAATTCATAGATTTTCAACATCATTCCTATAGCAAGTGTAAAGTATAACAGCCTTATAAATAAACGCGTAAAAAGGTTAAGTAAGTTTATTCCAAGTGTTTATTTGTAAGGCTGTAAATGTATTGCTTACACTATGATATCGGTATACAACAAGAAACATAACTCAATTATTAATAATGTTTTAAAAAGCTGTAAGATTAATAATTTTCAGTGAATATAATAATAGTTTTGCGTACATTGCCTGCCTTTGGAAACAGGTATCAAACATGTTAGTAAAATAAGCTGGTACAAGGTGGGCATGGATTGAGCCATTATTCTATACTTTAATTCCTTTATCCACCTTAGACTGGTAAAGTACAAGGATATTTTTTTAATGAAATCATTTTTGTATATTGTCTCCAGATCAGTAGCCTGGTGGCAACACGCGGTGAGGCGGCAGGTGGCGCAGCTGTTCAGCGCGTGGGTGCCGCGGTGTGCTGCGCGGTGGAGCGCTTCGTGGCGGTTGGAGAGACGATCGCTGACGACAACCCCGACGTGCGCCACAGCATGGTCCTCGCCTGCAAGGAAGCCCGTGCCGCAGGTCAGTAACACTATGATTTACATAGACATTTTCCATTTGTTAAAATAATTTATGTCTGCAATAAACAAAAGAGAATCGTGGTGTTTGATTTATAGCAACTGTTACCTTAGCATAAGATGACAAAGACCTTTAATATTTAAATTTATTGTCCTGAAACCTAAGTTGCTCTACTGTTTATGTTCTGAAAAAGGCGAGCCTAATAACATTATAAAAAAGTTAATAAAATGCAGTATCAGTATCTGTTTAGAAATTGATATTTTCGCTACCATTTTCTCAGTACTTCGAATTTTATTACACGTGACGTCATAACATTTAACGAACCGCAATGTAGTTCGAGCGACATTGTGGAGATAGTATTAAAGTGAACGTTTTAGATCCAAACTTAGTTTCGAATTCAATACGGATTCGATGTTTATTTCATAAAATGTGAAGTATAAGTTCTCGTATTATGTATTTTGATTCTCGTATCTTTATCTACATACAGAAGATAAGCGTGAAATTTAAAAATTGAAAATTGGAAGCCTTTTTATGAATGTGAATACAAAATAATCAAAATGTCTTATCATTTTTCCATTGTGTAGCAACTTTTATGAAGCTGTCAAAAACAAACGTCACAAAAGGAAACGTCCTTCCACATTTCAATTTCCTCAATTTATCCTGAAACAGCAGCGCTATTGTTCTGTGAACTTTCGAAATTTGATAATCAAGTGAGTCACGAACGCCTAATATTTGCGAGTTCAATTGAAAGGATACGTATCTTTGTTTGAAATTCGGTTTTTCTTTTCGTGTCTATGTAAACAAAACAACTATAAAGTACTAAGGGCCTGTCCCACCAAATTGTAAAATGTCTAATATCAATCCAACGTGTTAAATATGTAATGGAACTATCGGCTTTTGTTTCCTTATCTGACAGTGACGTCATTCTTTAGCAAACTGAGCCTCTATCAGTCTGTGGTGGGACAGGCTCTAAATGTAATACCTCCTAGCTCCTAGCAAGCATCAACAAATAGAATTTAGATGAGCTTTATATTTGAAAATGGAATCTAACTCGGTCTAGTACTTTTTGTTGGGACAATCAAATAATCGTTTATTTATTGATGAGCTATCTGACTTTTCTAAGGTTTCGGTTGTTTGAAATTTGGTATTGTAACTCTATACAAGGCAGAGCTGGGATTTAGGTAAATCTATTTGTAGTAAAATGGATCGAATTGACCGATAAGAATTTTATAGTATAGACAAACCGTATTTGAGACAGATGTATCTAATAGGCTATTTTTTGGAAAAAAGCTGATTAAAAGAGACGATACTGGTTTTCCTTTCCCTTTAACACTGTAAAGACAAAATCCGTATCCGTACTGTAAACATAGGGTATTTTTATTGATTTTATCGATATATTTGTTGTGTTTATCTGAAAAATATTATACTTTTTAGTAACTATCCTTATAAACCTTTTTACACGTCAAATATTAAACGCAAACGTGAGCAGCATTCTAATAGGTCTATTGAGAATTTTAATATAAACGCTAAATCAAGGCTAGTAATTTATAAAGCTCTCATAAATTTGAGTCAACAACCTGACCCGAATTTTAATGCTCGAACGTTATTACCGAACTCAGTGTGACAACAAACAAAGGAAGCCAACAAAGGCCACCCTCGCCTCGCTTCCATGGGATCGCCCCACTTCGTGACTTATATCTGATATTAATCACGATTATTTCTGATTTTGTAATAGAAAATAATAAAAAAATTAGAAATAACTCAACCTAGAAATGAATTAATTTCATTCGAGCCACGAGTAATTGTTCATAATATTGACGCACGCGTTTACGATTACAATCATTTTGACTCTGACGTAAATCTTTTTCTTTGTGCTACATTTAAGGCCGTTTTTACGTGTAATAAATTTGTTATACTGCCACAGACTGGATTCGAGAATGTTCCTGGTATGGGTTTTGTGTCAACATTTGAGTGATTGCATCGTAAAAATGTCTTGCTGATGGATAGAAGCGACTGTACATATACTTAATTGTCTCTCGTAAGAAATTAACATTGAGACGAACATTTTATTTGAAAATGAATGCTATAATTTATTTAAAAAGTATAACAATTTACACTGTCCTCTTATACATTATCTCTTACTTTTCAATCGCTTACTACCACTAAGCCTATGTCGTAAGGGTTTTTAAATTTTAAAAGGGATTTTATATGGATTTTTCAGGTGTTATGCACTAAATAAACTGTAAGAATTAATGCAAATTTACTTGTTACATAATGAAGCGATCAGGATGCCAAATTGACCATTCCTTACGTTATTTGCTTACCAAACATTTGTCCGAACGATGGTTTTATCGTAACCATTCGTTGGATTGAAACGAGTTCATACGAGTACAATCAAATCTTATTTGCTACTGGCCGTGGAATCTTTGTGAAAAGACACGCAAAATTAGGAATAGAAACGACACCAGTCCCTAATAATTTTTATCTAAATAACAATTATCTTTAACCGTACTTTAAAAATAATGTTACTTCAATTTCGTAGATAATGTTCTTAAAATCAATCTGTACTAATATTAATATTACAACGAGGAAAGATTTGTATTTTTGTATGTATTGATATAACTCAAAAACTAATGGGCAGACTAAAGAAATTATTTCACCATTAAATAACTACGTTATCAGTGAGTATGGCTGGCTGTGATTATTACAATTTTAATTTCTGCGCGGATGAAGACATGAGCAACAGCTAGTCTTCATATAAGATATTTCAGCTTTTTCATTATTAAGCATTCGACAGCGTACATTTACAGAGGTGTGCGATTTTGTGGTGCCGGTTGCAATATTCAATGGTTACGGTCGTGAATGCGGTCGGGCGTAAATTCTGACTTCCGTCAAAACACCTCTGTTGCGGCAGCGTACGGCCGCATATAACTTTACCTCCCAATTCCACATATTCGGAAAAGCCCACCTACATCTCCTGCCCTCATTTATTTACGAACTTTACAGGTGTCGTAAGACGTAATGGTGTTTAAGTTATTTATTCTTAACACGTGTGATAGCTCTAGATCCTAGTCTCCGTCCTTAACATATTTTTAATTTGTTTTTGGAAACATCACTAATAACAATGACAATCAATTTGTGAAAGTTTTTAAGAAATTCCTAGAGCAAATCTGTACAATTTCTTTTGGGTTATGGTAATATGTACAGTTATTTGTTGATAAAATTATCTGTGACACGGAACTTCTCACCATTTTGTACATTAATTCATTTTGGCTTAATTTTAAATATAAATTTCAGTTGACCTGAAAACATTAATAGCTATACTAACCAATATTTCGATAACCACCAATGAGCAATAATTTCAGTTCCGCCGTTTGAATACATTTCGTGCTGAATCAAACTTGGCTTCCGTTGTGTTAAATTAAGCCAAATACGGATTGCGTAATGAAAATCAAGCCTCTATTGATTTGGTACGAGTGAGAGGTCAACGAACATTTCTAACAAAGTAGCTTTCAAGGCGTGCGATAAAACTTTGTATTTATTACCGAGTCGTAGGTCCTCGGTCCTAGATTTAATTTTGCGCAGGGGAAATTCGTGATTTATAATGAAAGGGAATGTCTCGCTAAGATTTGTTTGGACTGAATACACTCGCAAGTTGTAGTTTGATTATTAAATAGTGTTATGATTTTAAATAGTGCTTTGAAATTTCAATATGTTTAAGCAATGAATGTTTGAATGTTTTTAGGCAAATATTAAACGTGTTTTACTAACTTCTGTCTATTTCGGTTTGTTATAGACGAAGAATGTATCAAATTCTTTGTTCATGGGGAGATATAAAAAACTATTTTAAAAATAGATTTTTGTATTAAAATACATTTTAACCTTTCTTAAAATTTCCTTTGTATAAAGTGCCGTTCGTCGTAACTTTGTATTACCGGAACGGTGTGCTTAAATTGGAGATGGAGGCAACGAGGCGTAAGTTTAAGATAGTGAGCCCCCCGTGTCAAATTTAGAAGAGAAACTTTACGATACGATATCGATAGCATTCTTTTGCAAATGTTTTGTTTTAAAACTTACAATATTTCAAGGAATAACGTATATAAAGAAGCTTTTACTATAGATTTTCTCTGGCGATAAATTCGTATGAAAACAGATTTTCGTCATTCTATTTTAGAAAAATTAAAGACATTTTTTATTTTGGTATTTTACAATTAGATTTATAAAATACACACAAGAACATGCATGAGAGAAAATTGTCTTGCTATACTTTAGTGATGACTAGTTGTTTCCGTGCGGCTTCATCCGCATGAAATTATAAATACATTATTTTATTGTTTCCATTTGTAAACTGTTAAAATTCAAGAGCATAAATGACAACCTTGCTTCTGTTATGTTGGCAGCTTGTAGTTTATTGTTCTTTTCCCGCATGAAGGATTTTTCCCTAAGTTTAATAGCTAGAAAATATATAGCCTAAAGCATGATGTAAGTGTAAGGCTTTTTACTAAAAAAAAATTTGTTCAAAAATATGCTGTAATTGCTGACATCCTACGCCACGAATTAGTGACGCTTTATTATATTAGTATAGATAACATGACTTGAGAATCAAGTTTTTATTTGTCTTAAATTGCAGTCGCTATTAACGCATTTTTGATGAATTACTATTTTTAAATCCGTGAGTTGATATATGATTTGCGTAGAGTCTGTGCCGCAGTGACCCGGTGTGCATAAATTAAGGTCTTTACGAACACTGGCGGCGCGACTGTTGCTACCAACATTTCGCATCGCTTACCCCTGCACACGACGGATGCCCGCCGGGAATAACATTGCTGTTCCTTTACTGTCCCACTTCTTTTGAAATATATTTTTTAAAACCAACAAATTTTATGTACCAACATTGGAGAGCAACATACATTTTTGTTTTAATTATATGCTGTTTTTTTTTTTTAAGTAATTGCACTGCGCATGAACTATCTGCTAATGTAATTAATCATTACTCTAAAACA